ATGGCACATGTCAGGACCACACAAAATAGTGGCAGGTTTTATTCCTCCCATGTACATTTTCATGACCATATCTTCTGCTTTGGAGCCATGAAATGTAGCTTTTTGGTGGTCTTCCATAGGGCGGGGGTTTCATGAGCGGAGAAGACATAATCAAGATCACCCCCATCCTGAGTCTGGGACCAGCAGATCAGAAAGGAAGAGAAATAAGTCCCTTTCAGTTCCCAGACAAATGCAGGTGAAGCCTATCTTCTATGGACTCTTCCTCCTAATCCAGATGTTTCAGGAGCCTTGTGTGCTGCTGTCGTTTGACTGTAGGAGTGACTGGGCTTTGGAGGGGCCATGGGGAGCAAAGTAGGGCAGATTTGGTATCACCTTGGCTGTAGGATACTTGTCTACCCAGCCAAGAAAGCAGGCCATGGCCTAGGATGCATACTAGGAAGGAAGGTGTATACCAGTGATCAGAAACTACAGGGTGCTGTGCTTTGTGCAGGGACACCAGCAAGTGAGCTCCAGGTCCTGCAGGAGACTGCACCACCACAGCTCTGATCAAAGAGGATCAGGAGAGGTACAGGTAAACCTTGCTTCATCCTTTTGTACTGGGGGTGAGTGGATGATGACTCCAGTCAGGTGCATGTGTTGGGTGGGGAGATACTGATGATCACAGTCAGGGCCCACAGTTTCTGAGCTCAGATATGGAGCCAAATTTCACAGCTAGCTTTCTGACTAGACTTGCAATGCTGATCCCTGGATGTGTGGTGCCAAGGAGACTGCGCCCACCTGGTCTGCAGATACAGGGAGAATGTCAGCCCACAAGTCCTCTGTGCTCTTGGCTATCTCAAGACTTGAGTGCTGCTTAACCAGTGAAGCTCTTCTGTTGTGTTTTGTTTCCCAGTATCGTTGGATCATCCTCAAGCCCAGACTCCAGGTGCTGGTCATGTCACGGCCTCAGCTTGTTTGGAAGCAGCTCTCTACTTCACACCAGCTGTGGTAACAAGTGGCAGTGGTTAGGAAGGATTAGTCAAGACACCTAGTTGTGCACCTGATGAACCCCATAAAACCAAGGGCTACTCTTCAGAGTTGAGGGAAGACGTTACTATGCCTTGAACACACTACAGTTAAGACCAGCAGCCCCGTGTAGATCACCTCAGTGATGCCATCCAGAAACCATGATGCAACCTCTGGCTCTGTGATAATCAGGAAGTGATGACAAATATCACCTGGGGGGATGTCTTGCTCCCAGTGATTGGGGATTCCTACCCTAGGAAGGGTTTCCTTTATATCAACACTTTAATACAAGATCAGCTTGTAGAGAGAGCTTGCTACATATGACAGCATTAAACGTGTATGCACTTCCTAACCCTGTTGTTGTCTTATTTTCTGTCAGCAGTGATAACCACCTTCAACATTCAAGACACCTCATTTTTGCAAGGGTGGGATGGATATTTTTAATCTGGAAAAGTTTGGGGTGTCAAAAGGCCCAAACTGAAATGTTTGAGCTTTGGATGGAAAAAATGATTGGGATTGCTGGTTTTCCAATAACAATACAAAAATGTTAAGAAAGGCTACACTCCATGAAAACTTGCATTTCAGTGAATATCCACGTGCCTGCTGAAGAAAAAACTTGGAAGGAAAATGTTTGACCAGACCTGGTATAGAACTTCCACTTTGAATTTCTGGCCTTTCAGGCTAAGTACAGACATTAAAAAAACCCGAGAGTAAATTGATTTAATCTTTGCAGGTTTGTCTAACCTGCGTAGATTGAGCTGGCAAGCAGGTGAATAGACATTCACTTTTGGTTCTGGAAATGCAGGCACATGCCTGCAGTGGACAAAGCCAGAAGCTGAGGGGCACTAGAGCAAACCCTCCCTTCTCTTCTGCAGTGGTGGAGGGAAGCTGAGCTGGAGGGGCACGTGGCCAGGCCCTGGCAGGCCTGCGTATGACTGGGGAGGGGTTTAAACCCCTCAGGGACCCCAGCCCGGGTGTGCCTGGAGGGGGAGAGGGAAAGCAGCCCTTGCCAGGCTTTTCGGAGGTGGGGAGGGAGTGTGTCCAGACCCTAGCTGCTGGCTGGCACCAAAAGGTGGAGGAGAGACAGCGGGGGCATGGTGAGAGTAGAGGTGTGGGGCCAGCCCTGCTCTTTGGAGCAGACAGCCCAGCCCAGGGCTGTGGAGCATGCTGGGAAGGTGGGGGACTCTGATTTACCTTAAACCAGGAAGGGGTCTGGGACAAAAGTTCCATAAACTGGTTTGATCTCAATCAGTTAAGTCTGATACTACATTCAACCAGGTTTATCTTAAACCAGTTTCAGCCATTTTGAAACTGGTTTATGTGCACTGAACTTCTGTTCTGTTACAGTTTTTAAACCAGTTTCTGATCACTTAAATCTGTTTATGTATAACCTCTGTCCCTAGCCTTAAAAATTGGTTTAACTCTAACTTAGCCCATATCTACACTTAAAATCTTGACCATTATAACAATGTTGGTATGGGTGTGAATCTTTTTTTTTTTTTACTGAAACACTTATAGAGGTTCAACTGTCAGTACAGGCAGTTAATGCCAGAACAAAGGTGTCGCATACTAACTTAGCTTGTTCCTTTTCCTATGCAGAATAGCAAAAAACCATTGTACTGATAAAATTTTGTTCATCCTATGGTGGCTGGTACTCATTTACTTCTCCTGGCATAGTTTGGATGATATAATTTCCTTGTGTACATGAGCCCTTTGAAGTGCTTAGCTTAGATTTTTTGTTAATGCCTACAAAGTTTTTCTAATAGATGTTTTCTTTCTGAAGCATTTAATTAAGTCTTTGCAAGTGCAGCTTGTTCTTAATGAAGGTTTTTGGTACAGAAACAATAGTGGCATTGGGGTAAAGAAAGTTGTTGCTGAGCCAGAGCTGTTTTCATTTTAGAGCTGATTAGCGGTGGAAAAGAGGACACAGAAGGTGCAGATAATTAGTTATAAGCAGGATCAGGTGAGATAAAAAGGCAGTCACATGCATCTAGGGAGGGCAAACCAGGTGAAGTAGAAGGTTGTACTGGTGAAGGCTGCACTGTATCACAGCTCCTTCTAAAGGACCTGGTCTCTTTGGTGGCCTAACACCATTGTTTTCAGTGGTGCTAGGCTTATTTTATCCCAGCTGATGACCTGGCCCTCTGATGCCTTAGCCTTTGTTTGTATGTTGCCTTTTTTTCTTGGTACTAACTCACAGCTTGAGTGCATAGGCTATATCAGGCTTGCCTGATCAATCCAATTTAGTTCCAGTGCAATAAGAGCATCATTCATCTCAACTGTGTCCCCAGGGACTTCAGAGGATAAATAACACAGCCTGTTTCAGCCAAGAACCTCAATACACATTAGAAAGGGGATGAGTGTTATTAGGATCTTACAAGTGGGGAGCCTGGGGCCCAGAGAAGTGAAGTGACCTGCCCAAGGTCACTGTTTAGACCATGGCAACTCTCACAAGCCATGCCTGAATTCACAACCTCCTGCTCCAAGCAGGTGGTCCTCCTTGCTGTATACACGGGAACTGGGAAGCTAAGACCAAGGGAGATGAACGTGTTTTTCAGTCAAGGTCTGAAATGCAAAATGTGGTGAGTGCAATTCAGGGAGGCTGTCCCACAAGCTGCAAAACAGCACACTTCCCAACAGCAGTATTATAATGCTAGAGTTAGCAGTCGGGACCAGAAACACATACTGCAGACACAGCCATTGTGAGGAAGAAACATATGCAGCCATAGCGCGGGCTCCCCACAAGGACTGTCCCTTGTACAGCCTGGCTAGTGGATGTGGAGGACCAGGACTTGCTATCACTCCACATCTCCCTTTCTTTACAAAGAATAAGGATTACAACACATTATAAATGATAAGGAATACACTATAACCCTTAAAACTATTTATGTAGGGGAGGGTTAGGGCCTCCTAGGTCTGGAACCCCAGATCCCACTTTGTGACCCTGGGGAAGGTTGGGAATCAGATCCACATCTGAATAATGCGGTTCAAGCCCTTCTCTATCTGTGATGAAAATCTCTGTGTGAGGAGCAATGACGGTGGGGGTTAAAGAGAGCAGCCAGCGCTGAGACGGGAGAGGCTATGACAGCTGGAATGTGATGGAGCGGGGTCTCTGAGTGAGGACACGGGTTTGTGAGCAACGCTATGTTAGCTGCATGGGAGAGTAGTGGATTTTGGAGCGAAAGGTTTCCCAAGATGGGGAGAAGGCCGTTCTGTGCCTGGGGACCTCCAAGGAGGTGGATTTCGTGAGAAGCTCTGTTTACGGGATCAGTTGCAGCCAGAAGCTGAGCTAATTGGGGGCGAGTCTGCCATCAGCGAGTGGCTGACAAAGGATTTCTGGCCCATGCTGTAATGTTTGCTGTCTGCACTTGGATTTGTGATGGTCCCCGAAGGCTTCTGGTGGGTGGGAGTGGGAGTTCACTTCACTTCATGATCTTGTTCCCCACCACCAGCCAAAACCGCAGCCAGTTTTATGAGGGAAACAAAATTGGTACTGACAACCTTCTCGGTGCCTCACACACTGACAGCGTGTCACTGGCGTTTCTCCAGGTCTTTGTCTTGCACGCGGTCAGGCCCTCCATGGATGCTGCTTGGCAGTGGCGAGGCCGTAGCTGCGATACGTTCCTCTCGGCATCTCAGAGGTGGCCTGTGAACAACGGTTCAGAGCCGCTCCATGACCTAGCCATTGCATCGGTGTTTCATAGCCATCGCTGTTAGACAGGAGGTTAGGATATCGCTGGAGGGATGCGATGCGGCTTAACTGCTGCAGCCCAGTGCTCCAGTCACTGACTTGACCCTGCCTGACCCCTCCAAGAGACAGCTGGAAGAAGGAAGGATTGTAATACTTCTTCTTTTCTCTTCTTTTTTCCTCCCCCTGCCTCTCTAACAGAGACAAGCATGGGGAGAAGCAAAGGGAAATGAAACAGGTACACAGAAGAAATGACTCCCAGCACAGACAGACAGGGGATTAGTCAAGGCAGCAGGACAGTACAGACCTGTGCGGGCAGCTTAGGATCTGCCTTCCTCCTCACCACAAGATCTGCAAGCAAGGTGTCCTTGGCTTAAATTCTTTATCAGATCTGCCTCAGACTGTTTTCTCTGACATACCTCTGCTTTATCGTATCTTCCTCTGTGTCTGTGAAGAGATAAAGGGATCACGCTGTAGCATAAAGCCGTAGGGAACTGCAGCAAAGGCTTTCATCCCGTGCCCTTCCTTTCCTGTCTCCCCACCATCCAGCTGGCCAGACAGGCCTTGTGCAACTTTCTCTGCGTGCCTTCAACTTACTTCCATCTTGCGGCCCTCTGCTTTCTCCCCTGGGCCCAATATCAGACCTTGCACTGAACCTAAGGGCCCTGTCAGGCAGCAGAGACCAAGCATGCTATTACCCCTGAAACTCCTTCCCCTTCAGCTCCACTCCTTAGAGGTTGCTAATGTCCTGGTCTTTTTGGAGGCATCTAGGCTCCTTCCCTCCTTCCTTCCGCTTCAGCAGGGTGGGAGAAAATGAAAGACGGACCTCTAATAAACAATGAACCAAGGTAAATCATTAAGACCTGC